GTTGTAATATACATAAGCCTGTGTTATTGTGTTGCAATATGCATAAGCCTGTGTTATTGTGTTGCAATATACATAAGCCTGACTTGTGTTGCAATATACATAAGCCTGTGTTATTGTGTTGCAATATGCATAAGCCTGACTTGTGTTGTAATATGTGTAAGCTTGTGTTGTTGATCATTCATATGTATACGGTAAGGTAGCAATTCCTGTCAAATGGTTAACAGAGACCATGAACAATTAACCCAATAGATGACTGTAGCAAGTATGACACATTCCAGGGTGTATATTACAAGGTGGCCTACACTGTTCTCTATTGTTCAAACTGCTATATCTGTGTGTTGGCAGTTTGTTCTGTAGGTAAACAACCTTGCTCCTTACTCCCGAGCAGTACTGGAGGTGGTACCTCTGGAACTTGACAATTAATGGACTGTCATAGAGACAACTGTCATCCATACAAGAAGATCTGGATCAAAACTGTTAGATGCAGTGTCATGACACATGTTGTGCAGTGGAAAATAAAACGATTGTGCAGAGCTATGCAAATTAACTGAAAACCTAATCAACTAAAATTTTGAACTTACCTTTTGGCCTAAAACAAGGAGCTAAACGTGATTCTCTTAAGTGATTCTAAATGAACTTTGAAATGAAATGACCCGCTTTGATATCTTCGTAAAGTTAATATCTAGAAGTTAAATTCGACATCTGAATTGAACTCATACATAACTAACCTTTTCCCTGTCAATCTTGATGAAGTGAGGCCAAAGACTGGATAATATGGATTACTTCTAGTTGATTAGTAACTTAAATCAATGACTGAAAAATGTTTACTTCAGATCTACAATCTATAATATAAATTCAGATCTTAGTACTTGCTAATAGTAAACATAGATCTGAGGACATGCTTCTTCAGATCATGTCAGAACACAGAGTGAGTGAGTGAGTGAGTTTAGTTTTACGCCGCACTCAGCAATATTGCAGCTATATGGCGGCGGTCTGTAAATAACCGAGTTTGGATTAGACAATCCAGTGATCAACAGCATGAGCATCGATCTGCGCAATTGGGAACCGATCATGTCAGAACACAGAACAACCTTTCATCTGACCAATCAGAACATCACTTACCACATCAAAAAGTGACAGTTGAGTTGTGTTTTCTAATAATGCAATCAAGAAAAACATGAAGTGCTGAGGATAAGTGTTACAGGATGTACAACTGATTTCATTGAAATCATCACCAAAGGTTTGAGGTGAGGTGAAATTGGGTTTAACGTCGTGCTTGAGAATATTTCGCTCATATAACGACGTGCATGTGTGTGTATGTGTATGTGCGGCTGCTTGTACTAGCCCAGACTTAACCTGGTTTTATAGTGCTAGCCCACTGAGATACCATGCCGCAGTGAAGCATGAATACCCCACTCCAGACACATTATACTGACTCCGAGCCGACCAGTCCTTGTTGTACCCATTGATGCCGGGCGTCAGGCAGGGATCAACAAGTACCATATTTTAACGTCTTTTGGTATGACGCGGTCGGGGATCGAACCCGCGACCTTCCGCTCTCTGGGCGGACGCTCTAACCACTACACCACGGAGGCGGTACCAAAGGTTGGAAATGAAAGGGACTTTCCATAGGGAAGTACTGCCAAACAACTGCTGACTCATGTTAGATATTCCATAAATTTATTATCATTCAGTTTTCAAATTTTGAACCAATATTTTTCAAAGAATAGTTGGGAATGGAAGTAACCAGTTTGAAATAAGAAAGATGCTTTCTAATTGGCTAATGTGGACTTATTGGTAGACATCTGACTGGTCAGTGAAAGTAGCCTAATGGTCGTTGTTACATGACCAGGATGGGATGTCCTCACTGTGTTGCAGTGGCTAACATCCTATTGATATTGTTAAGTGTACAACAGGGCACTTCTAAAAATGTGTGCCCTCAGGAATATAACTTTGTAAACAAGACAACACACAGTGAACCATCTTCAAACCCGGCTCATGTCACTCCACCATGAGGTGAATAGTATACAATCGTATCAACATTCCCACAAGGTATTTCAACTGAAAAATATTAACATATCTTACATTTATTTACGTTAACTGTGTCATTAAATCTACCAGGTGTTCTGAGATTGTTCTGAAATTGTTCTGAGATTGTAAACTTCACTATTACCAAACTACATGCCCTTGGTGGGCAAACTGGGAAGATTTGTTATTTTGTTCAAAATGTATTTTCCCAGAATTACTAAGTATTTTGACACTGCATTCAATGCAATTATAAAATTAAATTATTCATTAAAGCAACTTCTTCTGTATTGGTCCAATTATCAGTTAAATGTAGCCCAGATTTACAAACCAGTAGCATTTGTTATAATGACAACAGTATGACTTCAGGAAATGTACGACACCAATTTGGAATGTTTCACTGATATTTGTTGCAAACACTAAATCAGTAGTAGATGGGTACCTGACAGTGTTAATCATGCTGACAACAAGAGAGTTTCTCAAGTCACACTCACAACTGTATTCAATTGCAAGAGACAACACTAGCTGTCTTCTTCTACCAGACATTACTGGTATGACCAATCAGCCACATTAGCTGGAACAGTATGCATCAACATGGACCTAGCTCCATGAATATGTCTCCTGACTTCATGACTTCAATGAATCAAGCTACATGACCAGCGACAGATATCTATAGGTGAGTGAGTGAGTTTTACTCTGCTTTTAGCAATATTGCAATATCACAGCAGGGGACACCAGAAATGGGTTTGACACATTGTACCCATGTGGGGAATCGAACCCAGGTTCTCGGTGTGATGAACAAACGCTTTAACCTCTAGACTACCCTACCACCCTTATATCTATAGGACCTCTGCTGGTCCTTATTAAGAGTATCTTTACCATTTCTGGGTTAGATTAAACAGAAAAGACATTTTAAAAACAGAGCCATTCAAAGGGAAATGGGTTATAATGACAACCTTATTTCCACTACACAATCTTCTTAGCCATGACAAATTCACCTTCTACTACAGAGGCCTTGCAATCAATCAACATGTTCACACACTACAGTTTCACCTTAAACTTGAAATTGATAACATTTATCTTTAAAAGAAAATAGAAAGAATAGGCAATGGATCTAACATGAATAGCTCACTCTCGTGACTAACCGAGTTGAGCGGAGATTTTAAATCATGCCAGCAGACAAGCATATTCTAATAACTGAAGTCTCGGACCAGACAAAGTGAGTGAGTGAGTTTAGTTTTACACCACTTGTAGCAATATTCCAGCAATATCCCGGCAGGGGACACCGGAAATGGGCTTCACACATTGTACCCATGTGGGATATCGAACCCGGGCCTTTGGCATGACAAGCGAACGATTTAACCACTAGGCTACCCTGACCAGAAAGAAATCTTCAGCAATGTTAGAGTGAGTGAGTTGGTAACAATTCTTTGAGCAGTACATGTAATAACACATCAACTTAATGTGTAAGGAAAGGCCAAAGACTTACACACTTTCGTCTAGTCTGTTTTACAGTCCCTGAACCACATAATTTCCCCTTCCTCCCAGCCCTTTTTGCAATATGCTAAAGCCCCAAATGAAACAAGTCTAGATTTCCTCCTGTTCTAAATCTCCCATCTCGCTGGGACTCCTTTTGTTTCTATCAACATTATACATATTCAGAGACTAAACCTTAGTCTAAACTTAGTCATCAACCAGTATGTGAGCGAGCACATTGACCCAGTGGTGACAGATTAAGATGGTAACGAGCCCAGGTACTGAACCCATAACCATAGGACTGTACAACGCAGGCTTTCAGATTGGGCCAAGCGCCATATTGAAAGAAGACATCTCTTGTTGCCAAGATTTCTGTTAAAATTAATGCTTTCCAATAAATCAACCACACTTATTTGTCACTGATGTTCTGAAAAGTTCACTCTTTCAGCAATTTGACTGAATACTGCTTGGTAAGTCATGAACACATCAATACAGTGGTGGCAATAACCATTAGAACCTGGCCAGATCTCGGCCAGATCCACAGCAGCATCCAGAGTAGATGTTGCTGAAGATTTTAGAAGAATCTCCTAATTTCTGCCTGAAATTGTGAGAGTGGGAGGCCTGTTTTATCATCCTTTCCTTACAATAGTAACCTTTTGTTCTTGTTTTGCATAAAAATGCTTTCAAACATGGCAGTTTCAGAAAACAACAGATGTACCCCTGGTTCAGATAACACTTTGTAAAGGAAACATTTGTCTCTTAAGATTGAACGTAGGCATCAATAACACAAGCACAAATACTCATAGAAATGAATAAGGGAAAACAAAGTACAAATGTTCCTTTATTTATTTCCAGAATTTCACCCACAGTGGAATACATACCTTGTGAATAAAGGAACACTTGTACATTCATGTGTTCCCTTATTTGCTTCCATGAGTGTATATGTGACTTTGTATGTAGTACTGAAATCACGGCCAAATTACAATTTCAAGCATGATTAAAATATGATCTTGTTAAGGAAGGTTTGATCTCTCTTTTCAGAATCTCCTCACATTAACATTATTGTACTGAACATCTAAAGGCCAATACAAATTTTTCCTTCTGATACCAAAGGTTGTCATGTCAAAATTCTGTAGATTTTCTCAACAGTGACAAATTGGTGGATTTAATATTCAATTGTGAAATCCCACAGGGACAAAACAATTGAATGTAACCAACCTGCTGGACAGATCACGCTTCGACACCAGTATGTTTGGTGTACAACTTCGCTATGGTGCTTCATGCTAGATGTGTATTCAATAAACCTGTCAACAAACTTGACTAGATAGTGGCCAGACTTGAAAGGACGGCAAGATTAGAGGGTGCACACAGATGAAAGGTTTGATATATTTGACACTGTCATAATCCACTCTCTAAGGAACACCAGACTTGGACTAATCTTAAGCTGAGCAAGTCTCACCGAGGTCAATAAAACATCACTCTGAAAATAACTACAGTGGAAGCCCTCTAAACCGGCACTCGTTGGGACTGACAAAAAATGTCGGTATAGAGGGCGTGCCGATTTAGAGAATGATCCTAGCAATTAACTATCTTCTGTCGGGACGAAATTCTAGTGCCGATATTAAGAGCATGCCGGATTGGAGGGCTGCTGATTTAGAGGGCTTCCACTGTAACTCAAAATTTATTCTTTTGTTTGCTAGTTGTTGGACATCTACTGCAATGTTCAAGCTTAGATGGTTGCCTGTAAATAATCAACCGAACAAACCAGTGACTGTCATCTTGAGTATCGATCATGCAATCAGGATATGATGACGTGTCAACCAAGTCATCGAACCTGACCACCGATCATATCAGTCGCCTCTTACAACGAGCATGGGTTTTGCTCAGACCAATTCTAACCCACAAACTCAGCCACATTAGGCATCTAGTCTAATCATGATTGGTTATCTAAATTACAATGTCTCTGTACCATTGTTCTCTGTATCTACGATGATGAGTTGATTTAAAACTTACATACAACTGAATGACAAAGTCCTGTGAGAAAATGTTTTATCACCTTCGTGTTATCTGCACTGCAGAAATTGGAATCACAAAATGTAAGGGATTAGGAACACTATAAACATTCTCATTTCTTTTAAAACTGAATGCAAGATTGACTTATGGATTTCAAAGTCTTTGTTCTTTCAACATGTCCAACACAATGTTCCTCTCATCTTGGTGCCTCATCAAGCAAATTCATGGATCCTTTGGATTCTTAAGGCCACTAAAAGGTATTGCATCAATTTAGCTACCATTTGACAGTATAATTTTAACACATCTTCATACAACACACTGTTTATAACCAATTTTTCATTTTTCTCTCTGGATTTTATTTCAATCGCTCTGTTAAAATCAAACTTCAAAGAAGTCTTATCAAGGCATTTGACATGGGATTCTTGGTCCAACCGAAGATAAACCACATCTAAAACATTCATAATATGAAACAAAAGCTTGTCTTCCTGTCATACAACGTTCCATGGTCATTCCCACAGGTATTGAGTTAATGTGAAGGAATTTTATCAGCTCCATTAGGTGTGCTTCACACTGACTATCACAAGCAGCCATCAGCAGCAGTCTAGTCTTGTAAGCCTTATCACCGATATGTAACACTGAAACCCTACCTACATTTAGCAGTCCCCAATAATCCTACTTGGTTTGAATCTTGACAGGTATTGTCATACATTATACATTATTGTTAATACCTCTGGATCGGATCTGGAACCTAATATGGTCGTGTGAATATCACCATCATCTAGTGTTGGGAATTGGTTGAAATCTCACAATTGATGATTGGTTCAATACCAACGACCAATCATCGAAAAAAATTGGTTCGCGTCATTTTTTAGATTTTCCAATTCAGGCTGTAGTTGCAGATAAGTATAAAGAAAAAACATTTGGTTCTCTGGTGTTGTTTTTTGAAACGGCACAAATTACATTTGCAAATTTCACATCCAGTGTAAAATGATTCAGTTCCAGTGTAACATAAACTTCCAAGATTCTTCCAGAAATATTCAGTCATGACTTTTCAGAATGTGAAGTGAGTTTTCCTAGAAATAAACACGTTTTCAGGCCCTGACAACGCCCTAGATATGTTCTATCATCAAGTATTTCAAACTCTATTACAGCGGTTCTAAAATCGTTTGTGTTCGATTATGAGAAAATGTGACCGATTGCTTGGTCGTTTGGCCACTGCGACCTATCTTCGATTATTTCAATTAATCGGAACACCACTACCATCATCGCACTTGTTTCGGATGTTCAGGTAGGGTACAATACTTCCATGACACTGAAGAATTCTGGATTCTCATTGGACAAAATGAGTTTAACGTAAGGTATCTTATTCATAGTGTTGTGATGTTACAATGTGATGTCAAGCCCAAACAAACACTAGTGGTGTTCTGATTAATTGAAATAATCGAAAATTGGTCCCAGTGACCAAACACTCGTCCAATTTTCTCATAATCGATTTTGTCACTACTGTTTTAGTGTTTGAAACACTTACCGATGGAACATATCTTAGAAGTTGTCAGGGCCTGAAAACATGTTAAAATCTTAGGAAACTCACTTCAATTATGGACTTACAGATACAAATCATCAAAATGCAAATTCAACTTATAAAGTTGAAAAGTAACGCGATGATGTAAAAACGTAAAATGTAAAAACCAAAAATGAGCATGTATTTACAAAACCCAACATCTCTGTATACACACACACACAATGAGCCGTGAGGGCATCGGCAAATGAACCAGCCAATGAAAATCTTCGTTACACTTGAGTGCACACCCACCCGCTCTGACTAAGTTTGGTATCCCGGCTGCTTCGTTTCGAGGGAAGTAAACCCAAGCACAAAATATTGCACTTTTGATTTTGCAATTGTATGCTTATAGTTTTGTTTATATGTTTTTTCATAACCAGCAATGTATATTATATGTCATGAATAAATGATAATTGTGTTTTAATTATGTTTGATTTTTTGGTTGCATGTGACCGTTAATTAAACATAGACTTACAACGACCTTTGCTTTAAGATTACTTAGCCAAACACTCTGGTAGAGTTGTTTAGTCTGTCACTTTCTACTGAAAAATTCATAGAATGTCCAGACCATATATTTGGGGATTAAACCTGCAAACATGTTATCATCTAATTTGTTTTTCTGGAACAAAGACATGAAATTCCATGATCCCCTCCAGCCAGACCCAAAGCTATGCAGGCTAAATCATCTGTTGTCCAAGCAAGAAAGTACCCCGGCCATGATACACATCATATCATGTAACCCACGGTGAGGCAACATGACGATCTACTCATTGACATCACATGTCTAGACGATTGATTGATTGATCTAAACCAAGCTAAAGACTACACAAGCGTTTATTATCAATTGTTGACAAAATATAACAGTTTCAGTTTTCAGAAGACAACGGTCTCCCAGGGGTTCTTGTACTTTGCTTTTAATATACTGGACAAAATAAGTTAGGGATATTGGTATTTTTATGATTTTATCAGTGTGTCATTGAACAAATAGATCATTATTCATAATTTCAAAATTTACATTTATCCCTAACTATTTTTGTCCAGTATATTTGAATCAAAATGTAGTGAGACAAGCTCTAACAACAAACACTTGAGTTTTTCCTAAACTTAAAATCAAGCTGATTCTAAATTTCTTCATTAATCTCATCATTCAGTAATTTGTAATAAAAAAATGCATTTCTGAAAATTTACAAACAATGGAAATTTTGTAATTTGAATACGAAGACATCAGACATATTGAAAGCCTTGTATCAGCTGTCAGTGTTTAACACATTCCAACAAGGGCTACAGTCATATCTCCTTACATGAAATTACAAGCAAGGTGTTGGTTTACCATTGTCACGCCTATCCCACTACCTAGTTAGCAGGTAATAGTTCCAGGTGGAATACTGGGGACATGACAACTGAACATTATATAGTATACATGTCACTTGGTCAGTCTTCTATTTCACTGAACATTGCGGAATGTGTCCAGGATGGCAGCTGCAAAATTAACAACTCCACTTTCACATGCGACATCCAGTGTGCGCTAATACGGGGCCGAACCCATTGGTCAAATTCCACCAGTCCCCAGCTCATATAGGTGGTTATGTGAGTAACTAGATTTTGGGAACAGCATAACTTGTCAAGATTGTTACTCGTCTACTAACGGCGACTAAGGTGTGTGTCCATTCCTGTAACACTTAGCTATTAGTCACGCCTAAGTCTAAAGTCGGATATTGTTTTTTCACCAGCCTTCACAAGCTCCAAATTATAGCACATCACTGAATTTTTCTATTATACATGTTTATTCCAACACAATCTACTTTTCCTTTTGGAACTGTATATAGGGCTGGGACGATACACTATGTCACGATATGATACATATCGCGATATTTTACCTGCGATACGATACGTATCACGATATATACACCTTGAAAGAATGACACGGTATCAAGATTTAAAATGACTTATTTCAATGTATTTGCGTTTAACAATAACACTATTGTAATAAACAAACAAGTAACTCCATCATACTTGCGTATTATGCTCTAAATAAGTACTGTAACATTTACAAGATAATACTGTATTGAAAAAAAAGTTGTGTATCGTTTTGTATCGATGCATCGGTGAATCGTCCCAGCCCTACCTGTATGTGGTTGTATTTAACGCCACACTTAGGAAGATTCCAGCTACATAACCATTGCTTGTAATCCATCAGGCCTGGACCAGACAATCCAGTGACTGTTATAGTGTACAAAGGTACAATGACACATGACCAACCATGTCGCTGAGCCTAAACACTTAATCCATGTTCCGCGTATTCACCTGTTATGATGACAAGCATGGGTGTCTGGGGGCCTATACTACTACTGGAATGCCCATACGTTTGTTCGCAGAAAAAAAGACTTATATTTACTTTATTATTTAAAAGACATTTACTTGACAAAGCCGAGGGTTTTCACAAGTTACTGACTAGTCAAAAACACCAGATGGAAATGCATGGGGCATCATTAAGCAGCAGTAAAATGAACTGATACTTCAGTTAGGAGTGTTATCTAATTACCTGTATTTTCCCTATGCCATCTAATCACCTGTATTTTCCCTATGCCATCTAATCACCTGTATTTTCCCTATGCCATCTAATCACCTGTATTTTCCCTATGCCATTTAATCACCTGTATTTTCCCTATGCCAGTGCTTCAGACAGTTTTTTGAGCCATTAAATGTTGACACATATTAGTGAGTGAGTGAGTGAGTGAGTATGGTTTTACGCCGCAATATTTGAGCAATATTTAAGCAATATCATGGCAGGGGACACTCGAAATGGGCTTCACACAATGTTGGGAATTGAACTCGGGCCTATGGCGTGATGAGCGACCGCTTTAACCACTAGGCTAGACAACGCCCCATATAGATATTATACCATCCTCAATAAAGACAGTATATTGGCTGTTTTTAAATCAAGGAGTCAACAGTATATTTATATCATTCTACTTAAAGCACTGTTTCAGGTGACTTCAAATGTGTATCTGTTTGTGTGCTGTGCTAAGATGAGTAAATCGGCAGAGTTTCCTGACAATAAGTTAATGTGTAAGTGATCTGTAGTCCCCATTTATCAGTGTTTATCTGAAAACTCCCTGAAGGACCATATGCTCTGGCCGGTTCCTGATACTCACAATGCCTCCTACTTCAGCTAATGGGGGCCTGGCTCCCTGTATCAAGGGCAGAGACAAGAGGGTCATGTCCCCCAGCAAGGTGGAGTCTGCAGACTTACTACAACTCATTCACATACAGCGTAAACATGGCAACAGGGGGGTGCTGGGGTGGGAGGATTGGGAAGGTATGATTGATTGGTTGTCGTTTAAGGATGGGGAATTGTGGGGTAGGTAACCATGGTAACAGGGGATGGAGTTGGAGGTTGTGACTAGTGAGGGTGGGATTTAGCTGGGATGGGGTTGGGTGTGGGGGTAGGGATGGGTGTTGGTTACAATGGAATCAGGACTGGAGTTGTCACCAATTAGGATGAGCAACAGTTGGGATGGGGTGATGGTGGGCAACAGTTGGGATTGGGTGAGGGTGGGCAACAGTTGGGATGGGGTGAGGGTGGTCAACAGTTGGGATGGGGTGAGGGTGGGCAACAGTTGGGATGGGGCGGTGGGTGGGGATGGGGTGAGGGTTGGCAACATGGGGTGAGGGGGGCAACAGTTGTAATGGGGTGAGGGTTGGCAGGTTGGGATAGGGTGAGGGTGGGCAACAGTTGGGATGGGGTGAGGGTGGGCAACAGTTGGGATGGGGTGAGGGTGGGCAACAGTTGGGATGGGGGGTGAGGGTTGGCAACAGTTGGGATGGGGTGAGGGTGGGCAACAGTTGGGATGGGGTGAGGGTGGGCAACAGTTGGGGATGGGGTGAGGGTGGGCAACAGTTGGGATGCGGTGAGGGTGGGCAACAGTTGGGATAGGTTGAGGGTGGGCAACAGTTAGGTTGGGATGGGGTGAGGGTGGGCAACAGTTGGGATGGGGTGAGGGGTTGTGAATGAGGTCAACTCATCTTAAGAAATACCAGAAACTTTGTGCAGTGTTGTGGAACATCTTTGTTACACCAATATAACTATTGATATAGATAATGTTAGTGGTGGTCCGATTAATTGAAATAATCGATGATTGGTCGCAGTGACAGAACGACCAAGCAAACGATCATGTTTTCTCATAATCGAACACAAACAATTCTGGAACACTTGTTTGCGTTAACAATATTTTTCACAAGGTTGGTTTTGTCTGTTACATTTCATGAGCACTACAAGCTCATTCCAAGTCATGATTGAATTTATCTTAAAGATTCCAAGAAATTAATGCTCCCAACATACTAGTCATCCTTTAAAGATGTGAAATTTGCAAATGCATTTTGCCCAGTTTGCAAAAAAAACAAAGAACTACATGTTTTTTGCTTTATTTGTTTGTCCATTAACAAAAATAAATGACGCTAACCAATTATTTTCGATGATTGATCGGTTGTAATGAACCAAACATCATTTATGAGATTTTAACCAATTCCCAGCACTAGATAATGTATCCGATGTATTGCAAACCTGGTAATTTTGAAGTCTGCAAATTTAGTTACATCTATGACAGGACCCAAGTATCTTTAGCTGATGCTCAAACACCAGAAATCTCCGTGTTCCCGAACCCCACACAAGCCTATCTCCCATATATCACCTAGATATCTTATCACAGATATATCACACTCACAACCAAACACATCAGTACTAATTGAGACTGGTCATTGGAGTTGGACAGATTGCCCTGAGCAAATGACCTGGACAGGGCGCCCTTCCCTGGATTTATGAGCCCAACCTCTGGCTACTATCTGGTCAAGTCCATCATGACCACCTGGGCAGAGAGTCCTTAGCAGATATGTCCACGCAGATTAAAGAGACACTTAGTTGTGAAATTAAGGCATGTCACGTTCATGACAGTGTCCATTGACCCCACAGCTCAGACAAAAATAAAAAGCTACAATGTACAAAGAACACATTTATGTTGCTTGGCAAATTTGTATAATTACTTCAAACAAGGCATAATTTAAAAACATTTCAGTAAATGTACATCCTCGGCAGCTTGATCCCAATATATCAAACTATGGACTGTCCAGAGGCCATTCACAGCTTGTGCTAATGAAGTGATCTGTCTATGTGGGTCCAAATTGAGCCATACTTACTTATTTCTTTATGGATGAGCCAAGCCTACATTTTATCGTAGTAAAAGAAATAGATTCCTCCAAATAATTCTGTTTACATTTTGTTTATTTCTCAATCTGCCATAAACCAAAACAAAGGACAAAAAAAAAAATATTAATAGTTAGAATGTCAACTTCTTTATTATGACGAACATGACGTTTCAGAGTACCGTATATTCTTACTACTTCATTCACCTGATGACTTCATTCAACTAATGACTTCATTCAACTGATGAAGATGTAAGAATAAACTCTAACCCTCGTGTTCCTCATAATAAAGAAGCTGAAATCCATGAATTCTCCCCTTTTGCGTGTCACTTCTAAGTAACTTTCAGGAAAATATATGTTACTTTAGCAGGGGTGGAAATAACCCATTCCCCCGACGCCCGAGTCCAGTTTTTTCTTCTGTTGGGCAAGCAAATTTGCATATCACACTGTACCGGTGTCCAGTTGACTTTCCAATATTAATTATGTTGTTTATTTTAAAAATCAACAAGAAAACGGCCGGTATAGTGGAAAAATTATCAGGTTGAGTGATTTTTCATGTGCCACTGTACCGGAGTACACTAGCAATTTTAAAGTTATTTCCACCCCTGCTTTAGGGAGTTTATCTAGTCCTCAGCCGCTACTCTTCACCTTTTATTGCAGTTTTATGAAACACTGTACATTGCATACAAGATTGAAAATACAAATATAAGATACAAAATCTTTAAAATAATATCTTAGGAAATTGCTTTGCTACCAGTATTATCAACACGTATTTACCTCAAAAACTATGTTCCTATCACAGTGCCACATAAATATTCTATTTTGCACCATGTTTCTACAGGGCCTCCCCTATACAATACATTCTTGAAATAGTCATCCATAACTAACCCCATCCTTACCTAAAATGTACATATGCAGGAAACATTCTCCATTATTAAGATCCAACAAAAGTCTTTCAAAGAAATATGTAGGTTTTCAACTGTTCTGTTATGTAAGTTAAGTTCAATATATTATCAACCATGATAATTTGTGTGAATCTTAAATGGAATTCGCTCATCCCAATATTCAGCAACTAATTATTATTACATCTCTACAGCAATGTATCTTCACCTTTTCTGTGCTTGTTGCTACCATATACCCTTGTTATTGACTTTGTAACCATGGGGGGGAGAAAAAAAAAAAGAAATTGTGTAAATATATTTTTAATATTGTTTAACATATATGAAGGTTATGAAATACTCTACTTCTATATACAACAGATTATACCACAGGGAAGTGTCAAGCTGACAATGTTGTACACTGTTGTACAGCAACTCCTGGTGTTTATGTCCAGTCTCCCAACACAAACATAACATTTGATGCTATGTGACAAACACTGTCATATCTTCCATATGTGATATATTGTTCATATTTCCAGCTTGTTATAATCTAGTACACATTGGCCTAGAGTTTGTTCTTTGTTCTGTAAGTACTGCATATACTCAAATACTGGATATAGAATCACAGTGTGATAGCAGTCCAACTACAGAATTCCACAAACAAGATAGTTTGTAAAGGGAATAATGCTATTTTTGTGTGAAAAAAAGAAAGAAAAAAGTTATACAATTAATTAATTGTGAATCAGAGAAAACAACCATTACATGTTATACAATTAATTAATTGTGAATCAGAGAAACAACCATTACATGTTATACAATCAATTTATTGTGAATCAGAGAAAACAACCATTACATTTACAAGTGTAAACTGACAGTGTCTTTTCATATGGTTTAATTCTTGATTTTAACACTGTTTAACAGAAATGGTCTAAAATTGTAAAAGAAACCAGCTTTGACAAGCTTACTCCTGTAAGTCTGAAGGGTTTCAGTCCTGCCCCCCACTGAAGAATATTACATGAAGCTTCTCCTTAGGCAAGTGGCTTTGTTTTAGATATGTCTCTGTTAAACCAGTATTGAATGGGTACCAGGCAGAATGGTACTCTAATGTCACTGTTAATCTTCTACATCCAGAGAGGTTGAGGTACATACTCCTTTTGAGCTGACAATGAAAACATGAGTGCACACTGGCCCTCTAACAATAATGCAGTCCTTTGAGCATGCATTAAGGAGAGGAGTTAGTTCATTAACTGGGACATTAGTTTTATTGGTATTGGAAACAGTTCAATACAAAGTTTCAAAGTCACATATAAATTTGGACAAAAAGGTGAAGGCCCCCAACTTCAACTTCACAACAAATTTTGATGAAAAACAGAAATAATCTAATAACAAACTGAGAGGGCTCTTGAATGCTGTATAACCCTCCATGACAATACATGGTTTCAAAGGGAAACACTGACAATCTTCCTTTCTCGTCAGAAGGGATTAGGATAATCTGTGGCTATTGTTATCCCTAAACCAAATTTGAGTAGGGGATTTCAATATAGGGGTAAAAGATTAAACTCTGCCTCGAGCAATGCTCCCCCTCGTACAACCCAGTTTTACTACAGAGCAATTCGGTCACAAACAGCTCATGACACAGTTGGTGAATGAATACACCACTCCTTTCAACGTTAACCACAGCGTCTCGAACAACAAAACCCGTAACATACCTGACTGATTAAGTCATTCTCGTTCTGTTACATACAACTGGCCATTTTAGATAGTTTGAGGTATATGTAATTCTAGCATTGGCCATGACTTTATAACAATGTTTCACATAGTTGAATAGTTGCATGTAATTGTTTGGTGACAGGAATATCTGTGTTATGTAAACATCAAACTTAGGGGCCTCATAAACATTCTTATCACGTCTGGATGTTATGTGTGGACTTGAAGGTGGACTGTTAATATCGTTTAATCACCTGGAGATATATTTGAGTATTGAGTTGCCATATTTACTCGTGTCATCGGGAATGACAACAGGTGACTTCGTGGGTAACTTTGATAGTCAAACAGGCACTGTCAGATTTACGGGTGCATACGAGAATTAATTAATTCGCAGGTCAGTAGGGCAGGGTATGGCGTGTTTCTTGTACAAAACATGTACAAAATGTATCGTAAGTGTATTTGACACCAAAATATGTTTGTAAGTTGGAAGACGACGGGTCAATCTGGGACGTTGAGACAGGTGAGGTTCTTATCAAGTCTGTGTATGTCAACTGTTTAATGTCAATATTCTTTCATGCAGAGTATATTTCAATAACATATCACTTCGATTACGTCAAAGTTTAGCTTCACACAAGGATAACTACAAGCTCAGCTGACAGTACATGGACGACGGGTGGGTCAGTTCATTGCGGGTCCAGCCCTCTCCAACACAAACCGGTAATTTCGCCAGGGCACGCAAGACATGAAAATGGCCTTACCTCTAACAAGGTGGCATGTAAACCGTGCCATACTTGAAATATTCTCCACAGTAACGATCGTGGTCCTCGTCAAGCCATGTGTCCACACGACGGACGAAAACAATCCTGTCTTCTCGTACACGACTCTCACACACAAACAGTCGCAGGGTCACGTGATCAGCCTGACTTGGGATGCTCCCCTCCACATAATCCGTTTCACAATGTGTCGCCGATTCAAAGGCTGGACGTGTTCAGGAATGCGGTGTACACTTACACAGGTGGAAATATTAACAGGTGTATTAATGGCTCGGGGACAATGGCACAGATGGATAAGAAGAACGATATGCGACCTTTCCCAAGGAGTCGAATGTTGTAAAACTGTTATGATTTTCCGGATTTATGATTTTAACACGTGATTCGATACACCTTGTTACTTCCTGCTGTTTTTAGCCATTTAATAAAAACTTTTGCAAAACATTATTGAATGTGAATGGCGTTGAAGCTTAAACCATTCACGAACGGGATCTTTTTTTCTGAAATAAAAAGCACCATTAAAACTACATTTTTCTCCGGCGACAGCCATTCAAATTTAGATAATGTATTTTGACAAAAGATATGTTATTGAAGTGTTTTTAAAGAGGTAAGAGGGTTGAAATGAAAGAACGAAAGGCGCGCATGCTCATGGTTCATAGCATCAATATTTTCTTCTGCAGGTAGAAAGTTTTAGCATGAGTGAGTGAGAGAGTTTAGTTTTACGCCGCGCTCAGCAATATTCCAGCTATATGGCGGCGGTCTGTAAATAATCGAGTTGGGACCAGACAATCCAGTGATCAACAGCATGAGCATAGATCTACGCAATTGGGATACGATGACATGTGTCAACCAAGTCAGCCAGCCTGACCATCCGATCCCGTTGGTCGCCTCTTACGACAAGCATGGATTACTGAAGGTTCCTTCTAACCCGGACCTTCACGGGTCGTTTTAGCATGAAATATATGAACAGGTACATACACCTGATGTATACGGAATGAAAAAGGTAGGGGATAATGAATATTATTGGGCGGGTTGTTGTTTTTATAGTTGCACACAGAGTGAGCACCCAATTTAATAGAACTACCCCGAAATACTCACGATCCTTTACATTATTGTTCAGTAAGTAATAACCTCTAGTTATGTAAATTAATGACAACCGAACTAAACTGAATTTAGTTATATATTTACTTGGCTTTCAGGCATCTAACCGTGTGTGTAATTAAGTTAAGATAGAGTGGGTATGATGTCAGGCCGATGTTAAACTGATGTTAAATAGGGCTGGGACGGGTCCAGATGTTCTACCCGGGTACCCCACCCCCTATTATCCTACCTGGATACCCGTTATGTTAATTCCTGACATCAAATTTGTAAGAAATGGCAATAGATTTTTCAGCTCGGAAACTAAAAGTTCGTGTTCTTCAATATTGTAACCATGTATTATATTCAAAAGAAGTGACTGTAATTATATCTTCAAAGACAATACAACTTTTTAATCATGAAAGAATAACATATTACATTGTGTAATCTATCAGTCACATGGTCATAACGGGTCCGGGTATTGAGACGGGTACCCGGATCCAACTCATTACCCACCCTTCCCTGGTATCCGGGTTACCCGTCCCATCCCTAATGTTAAATGGCTTGTACCACATTAAGTTCAGGGGACACCCACAATGTCCCTCACAAATTCTATCCATATTTGGATTCAAACCCAGGTCTTATCCCTGACCACTTCAACCCTTTGGCCACCCGTCGTTTCCTTACTGACCATATAAGGTTGTCCTGGTCATCCTGAAGGTGTCTACTGTGGTGAGTAGCCAATTAGGTGAGTGAGTGAGTCTAGTTATACGCCGCTTTTAGCAATATTCTAGCAATATCACGCCGGGGGACACCAGAAATGGGCTTCACACATTGTACCCATGTGGGGATTCGAACCCGGGTCTTCGGCGTGACGAGCCAACGCTTTAACTACTAGGCTACCCACCGTCCCAGCCCATTAGGTAAATGTCCGTTCGTCAAGTTGAAGGACTGAGTTCAATTCCCAACACAGGTACAATATTCGGAGCACTTGTGTCTTGGTGCTGCATGAATGTTTCTTAACACGAGATAAAACTACACTCACTGTGTGGAACACAGGTCTACTGTCAACTGCTACAACCTGGAAACATGATAACTGCATATCGTTTACATGAGTGTTGCTTCTAACAGACTGGAGATCTGGTTACAATGTGCGACTCTGGTCATTACGTGTCATCGTATCACCCCTTCCTTGTCTCCCCATGCCTCCATTATGTGAGGTGAAATTGGGTTTAACGTCGTGCTGGAGAATATTTCGCTCATATGACGACGTGCATGCGTGGGTATGTGTATGTGCGGCTGCTTGTACTAGCCCAGACTTAAGCCGGTTTTATAG